GGAGCAGATGGACATACGGGCGACCGCCGGGTCCTGGAGGCCGCTGAGGCTGCTGGGAAGTCCGCGCTTCCTGGCCTGGCTCTCCTCGTCCAGCTCGATCAGGTTGGCTCTCTCCAGCTGCGACAGGTCGGCCTCCTCGTCCTGCAGCGAGTGGTTGGGCGAGCTCTCGTTGGAGCGCACGCCAGAATCCGACGAGTCTTTCTTGTCCAACATGGCGTCCGACAGGTAGTCCTTCCCCTTCAGCGCCAGCGAGCCGCCGGGGAGCTTTGGGTCGACCGCCTTCTTTCCGTCTTTCAGGAGGGGAGCGTTGTCGGACTCCTCAGACTCCTCGTCATCGCTGGTCAGCTTCTGGTAGCGCAGCCCGCCGCCCGCCTTCAGCTTCAGGTCGGCGGCGCCCTGGAACAGCCCGCCTCTTTCCGCCGAGGTCTTGCGGGTCAGCAGGGACTTGGAGGACCCGTGGTCGCCCTTCTCGTCCTCCTCGGTGATGGGGTCCAGTGCGTCGCCGTTGGATGCAAAGTCGACGTTGTCTGCTGCCGGTTTGCCGCCGCTCCTTTTGTTGAAGGACTTACGTCCGTCCTGCTCGCCGCCATCTTTGCTCTTGTCGTCTGACGATGATGTCATGAACTGACCCGGCTGCGGTTGGACGGGCCTCTCGCCGCCGCCACCGCCCATCTCCAGCTGAGCCATCTGGGCGATGTACTCCTGGTAGGCGTTGCGGTACTCGGCCTGCTGTTTGTCCGTCAGCTTGCCGATGTCGTTGGAGGATTCCTGCGAGTTCAGGCTCGTCATGCTGGCGGTTCTGTGAGCGCCACTCTGAGGAAACACCACAGAAGAAGAGTTGAAGAATCAGAACCTGTAGATATGCACATTAAAGGTCAAAGGTCGTCCAGTTTTACCATCCACTGCAGGTTTCCGTGTCTTGCCGGGTCGTCCAGTCCCACAGTGCTCAGCTCCTCGAAGCTCAGGTTGAAGCTGTACATCGGGGAGGCGTCCGGGTTGGCGCCGCCTGCGAGGGGCGGAGCCACGGCTCGCCTCCCTGCCTCGGTGTGACCGCCCACGACGCTGCCTTGCTCACTGGCAGCTTCCTCGTGCAACACCTGACTCTCAATGTGACGCATGTCCAGAACCTGCAGCCAGGAGGACGAAACCGTCAAAGGTTCAGAAATAAACTCAAATATTCACATCATGTATCAGGATTCATCAGTTTCTTGTGACTCCACTGAGGAAACTATAAGATGCAGGTAAAGCTCTGGAAGACTTTAGAGAGTTATGATGCTTTTTTGTCAAAATAATAACAAAATGGTTCATTTTTTATTTTTTGTATGTGACGATGCTTTTTGTTGAAAGTGGTAACTTGTTAACATTCGCTTGCTAATGCTTCAGTAAAACAATATAAATATACAATCTATAGCAAAATATATTTTGTTACCATAATGTATTGTGGTCCTTTAGGTTAGCATTTTATATGTTGCTGTTTTTCTACATTTGGTTTAAACTGAGATATTAAACTGTTGAACAATAAAGAAAGACATTTATTTAATCAGCTTAAAGTTAAATTTATGAACCAAACAAACAAACTGAGAAAATAACTGACGAATGAGATAATAAATAAAACAAAAACATCTTCTTACTTCACACTATTATCACATTTTACTGTATAATGTTTGTATATATTTATAATGCAGGGAACTACAGACCTGAATGATCATTAAATGACCTTTTACCAGTTCATGGTGCGGTGTTTCGGTGTACTGACCGTGGCTCTGAAGAGTTGCCAGTCTCCAAAGTTCATGTTCATCTCTTTCTTCAGCTCGTCGATGTTACACTGAGACAAAACTCTGCCGTTAACGTTCGCCTGTAAACGAGACGCCGTTCATTAACCCGACACATAAAAACACGTCACTCAGTCTCATTGGATCATTTTCTGCCACCGACCTTCCTGATGGTGGCGCTGTACTGTGCCATCATGCTCTGGTCGATGCCTTCGATCTGCCGCACACGCTCGCACACGGCCTCCGTCGCCATGGAGCTGAGGAGGATGGCGGGAGCGCCCGACACCACAGAGGCCGAACCCTGAACACAAACACACACAGGTTTGATTCCCAATAAAACACTTTAACAACTGTTTTAAAACTCTGGAAAATAAACTTTAAAAGTTTAAATGTTTTAAACTTTAGTTTCCAGTTTGTAAACACTGCAAACTACATGAAGATATTAGTTTCTACAGTCTAATCCGATCTACAGACCTCACCTCCACTTTCTGAGATTATTGAGACTTTGATTGATCGATTGTTAACGATTAATCACCCTGAAGTTACTAATGGAGTTCCACAAGGTTCTGT